TTAATGTTAATCAAAGAACAAAAGAAAACCATTCATTGATCTTGACTGAATATATTTAATAACTTTAATTGATTAATCTATATTTTATTTATGAAAAGATATAACTTTTAATTACAGTTTCTGTACCTGAAATTTTGTTCAGTTGTATTTATTTATGACATTGCTAATTGATTTGTTTGTTCCTATCTTATTACTGACTGTTTACTTGTCTTTAACACTTTGATATTTGAAATTTATATTAATCTAGTTGTTTTTCCTGTGGTATCTTTTTTAAAGCATAGGCAAAATTCCTCTTGCAGTGTTCTGTAGGCTGCTGATTTTTGCTCGTGTTATTCAGCTGCAACAGAATACTTTGTAAAAAGACAGAATAAATGTTTGACATCTAAATGTTTGAGTTAATTTTTTTTATATTGGATTTTTTTATCCTATTGGAATCGAAACTAGGAATTGATAAGAATCGGAATCGATAAGCAGAATCGGAATCGAAATCGATAAAATTCAAACAATACCCAACCCAGAATAAATGTTTGACATCTAAATGTTTGAGTTAATTTTTTTTATATTGGATTTTTTTATCCTATTGGAATCGAAACTAGGAATTGATAAGAATCGGAATCGATAAGCAGAATCGGAATCGATAAAATTCAAAAGATACCCAACCCTAGGTCTTTTGCCATTTTTCCAGTTCTGCCCTATTCCAAACATTTCCAGAAAAAAAGGGCAATAAAAAATGTAGGCACATCAGTGTAGTCTTGGCAGGAAATGCTTTTTCTATTAAACCTGCTTTAAGACAGTCTCGGCCATGCAGTCTTTTCCACCACAGGTTTCATTCAATACTCCACTGTCACAGCTTTAGTCCGCAGGTACTCATGCAGGGCTTCCTCACCTGTATACACATGCACATGATCCTCATGGTCATGAAACTGGTTTTAAAGTGATACAGAGTAATGATACAGTGTGTGTTTTGTTCACTCTTACCAAGGTCTTTCCCAAACCCGGACTGTTTGAAGCCTCCAAAGGGAGCCGCCACATCGGTTTTGTTGTAGGTGTT